AGAGTCATTACGAATCGTCTCGCGCGCAGACTTGACGACTTCCAGCCTCCCGAACAAGCCGGTTTCCGAAAAGGCTTTAGCACCACAGACCACATACATACCCTTCGCCAAATTGTACAGAAGTCCGAGGAGTACAATTTGCCACTATGTCTGGCGTATGTGGACTATGAGAAAGCCTTTGATTCCGTCGAAATTTGGGCGGTGCTGCAGTCCCTTCAGCGATGCCAAGTTGACTGTCGGTATATCGAAGTGTTGAAGTGCTTGTACAGTAGGGCTACGATGGCTATCCGAGTACAGAACCAGAGTACGAAACCTATCCAATTGCAGAGAGGTGTAAGACAGGGTGACGTCATATCCCCGAAACTCTTTACCGCTGCATTGGAAGATGTTTTCAAGCTTCTGGACTGGAAAGGATACGGTATCAACATCAATGGCGAGTACATCACTCACCTTCGATTTGCCGACGATATAGTCCTTATGGCAGAATCGCTGGAGGACCTAAGCACTATGCTCAATGACCTCAATAGTGTTTCCCAACGGATAGGTCTTAAGATGAACATGGACAAAACAAAGATCATGTTTAATGTCCATGTCACACCTATGACGGTAGTTGTTGGGAACACTAAGCTCGAAGTTGTTGACGAGTATGTTTACCTGGGACAAATAGTCCGACTAGGTAAGTCCAACTTCGACCGAGAGGTCAATCGACGGATTCAACTCGGTTGGGCAGCGTTCGGGAAATTACGGCACATCTTCTCGTCAGGTATACCTCAAAACTTGAAAACGAGACTGTACACCCAGTTCGTGTTGCCAGTGATGACATACGGAACTGAGACGTGGTCCTTCACTGCTGGCCGGATGAGGAAGCTCAAGGTCGCTCAGCGAGCTATGGAGAGGGCTATGCTCGGAGTTTCTCTGCGTGATAAACTCAGAAATGAGGATATCCGCAGTAGAACTAGAGTGACCGACATAGCCCAACGGATTAGTAAGCTGAAGTGGCAATGGGCCGGCCATATAGCTCGAAGAACCGACAACCGATGGGGAAGAAAGGTTCTCGAGTGGCAGCCTCGTACCGGCAGGCGAAGTGTAGGGCGTCCCCCCACTAGATGGAGTGACGACCTGGTAAGATATGCAGGAAGTCGATGGATGCAGGTGGCTCAGGACCGTGCTTTGTGGCATTCTTTGGGGGAGGCCTATGTTCAGCAGTGGACTTGTGAAGGGCTGTAATGATGATGATGATGAGGCAATCTATGGGAAAGGCCCATTTTCAGTGGACTTTTTATAAGCTTAAGAGGACAGATGGATGAATTGCAAAAAACTTTATATTTTATTATTTTACGTGGTAGAGCCATGCCGCAGCTATATTAGTAGTATAGTTGTAGCACGAATGGGTCGGCTCGACCGGGGAAGGACCACGCTCTCACAGAATACCAGCGTAAAATAGCAGCTTAACGCTGCTGTGTTTCGTATGGTGAGTGTAGAGAACCGGAGACCCTTTTTACTGGAACCGAGGCATTCCATCTTAGTCCTCATGGGTGACAACACATCTGCATTTTGATTTGTAATCGAGGATAGATGTAGATGTCTATGGGCCGCAACAACCACTTACCATCAGGCGGACTGTATGCTCGTTTGTCACCCTATCCTATAAAAAGAAAATTTAAAGGTAAGTAAGGCTCGTGCCTAGTGCTCTGTCTAGGAGTCCGTCTGGTTGGTGGGTGGTACCAATCTAGCCTATTTGTGCTGCCAGCAGTGCACTAACCACTATGTTTTGATTTGGAGACTAAAAGAGCCAGTACAATTATAAACCATGAACGCTTTAATTTAGTCCTCAGCGGTGACAACGCAACACAAACGCACAATCTATGGGCCTTATTAACCGACCATTTTAGTATTTTTTTGTGTGTATATATTTATATATATATATATATATATATATATATATATATATATATATATATATATATATATATATATATCTTCGCAGATTGTGAAGCAACTTCGACGATTCTTTTTTTATTAAATAGGTTATACTTCAAGGGTGGTCCCATATAAATATAGAGAAAATATTTCACCCTTAAGGGCGCGTTCCGACGACATGCACCCACTACGCGCCCGTCTCGTTCCCGCTCCGCGCCGGCACCGCGCTCGCCCCGCACACGCTGTGCACCCGCCCCGCTACGCCCTAGCACGCGCTTTTTATACAATTTCAGATTTATTGATTTGTCATAAGACTCAAATTATATGCAACAAATTTCAAAGCGAGTTAGACGCGGGTGCTGACACGCGTGGCGTACGCGTGGCGTGCGCGTGGCGTGCGCGTAGTAGGTGCGTGTCGTCGGAACGCGCCCTAAGGGTAGCAAATAAATAATTTGTTTTATAGCATTTTAAAGTCTGCTTTTACTTTTTGTTAAAAGTTATAATTATTTATTATTTTAAAGTTGGATGCAGGTGAGCACAGTATTGCCGTGGCGGCTTCAGAACATCCATCATCCCATTTGGTCCCGTGGGTGTTGTAAGAAATTTCTTTGGTAAATACCAGAAAAATATAATGGCTATAGATGGCGGCAACCATCTTGTTAGCGCCAAACGTAAAATAGCCAAATCGATGATAAGCAGCACTACCCAGACTGATCATCAGGTTACAGGTGCGAGACATCTGGTATTGCGATCGTCAAATCTTTCCTAAAACTACAACGGGAGAGGCCCATGTATGGCAGACGACTTTTATGAGCTGATGAAGAAGGAGAAAGTTGCAGGTGTTAATAAGAATTAGTTAATGTTACAGCCTATATACGTCCCACTCCTGGGCACAGGCCTCCTCTCATTTCTGAGAGGGTTTTGGGGCAAGGAAATATCCGCCGCGCTGCTCCGATGCGTGGTTAAAACTAATATTTTGATAAGCCTTGTGTGGAAGAGAGATCATTTTATTGTTGTATTTTATTTTTAATAATTTTTTGTGCACATTGTTGATGACTTACATTTTATCATATTATGTCTGTAATCTTAGGTAACATCATGGTAGATGTATTTGAGATAATATATCAATTACATGTTTATTATCTATTTACAAATCTTTTTTGTTACGAAAATCATATAAAAAGAATATCGTACTATTTAAAGTTCTGTCATGGACGTGTAGTTGACAAGAAAATACTTTTAAGATTTTTTTAGTTCCGATACATAGAGATATAAACATCTCGTTTACGTATAAAGTAAAATAACCGGATCAGCGAAGGGCAGCAGCGTCAACGGTGCCGGACGTCTGGCACAGCAATCCGTCAACCCGTCTTTTTTTATAGGAGAGGGGGCAAACGAGCATGCGGCTCACCTGATGGTAAGTGACTACCGCCGCCCATGAACAACTGCAACACCAGGGGATCCAGGGGAATTGCATATGCGTTGCCGGCCTTTTAAAGAGGAATAGGCTCTTTTCTTGAAAGTCTGCCAAGTGTTAAGGCAAATACGCCCTGCAACGGGAGAGGCCCAGCAGTTAGACACATGTCAATTTTTTTTTTTTTTTTTTTTTTTTATAGGATATGGTGACAAACGAGCACACAGTCCACCTGATGGTAAGTGGTTACTGTGACCCATAGACATCTACATCTATCCTGAATAGACTCAAGATGCGTTGTCACCCGTGAGGACTAACATGGAATGCCTCTAAAATCAATCAATCAATCAATAGTGAATGATTCATACATTTGACCCGAGTCGCTTCAAAGTATCGATGATTGGTAATTATACAAAAGAGTGACTTTCAATAAGTATTATTTATAATCTATATTGAATAAAAAAGTTTCTGTTTCTATTGCAATTACATTTTTTGAATGTTCCGGATCAAACGATTGACAGGACCTACGACGACCAAACAGTAGTAACGTCCAACGACCGACAATATCGAGCGGGTCTCACAGATTAGAGAGTACTGAAACTCGTCTGAACTGAAAATGATCAAATTGAATGATCGACCCGAATGACCCGGATCGTAAGACGAATCAATACTTGAATGATCGGTTCACTAGAAATGAATGAATGACACACGTCTACCAGCGCGGTTAGCATGGGCTGGGTCAAGAATTTTATCCTCCGATTATATCCACTGACAAGAGATAAAATTATCTTGTCCCTATGCCAAAGCAGGGCAACGGGGAGAAATATATCCCCGTTTGATATAACGAGTAGACATATATCCCCAGTCCATAGGATTAGCCAAATGAAAGAGAAAAAATTATGCTTTTTTGACATTTGAACGGTACAATTTTATCCTAGTTCTTTGGACGTGGGTTTAAGTTTATATTCATACAAAAAAATCTATCTAAGTCCAAGTCTATCTTCCATTTTATCTACTGTGGATATTATATCCACCGGTGTGCCCATGCTCTGGTGGATAAAACTAAGCGAGTGGATAAACATTTTCTCCTTTCCCCGGGGATAAAATTGTCTCCTGCCCATGCTAGCCCTGCAGCAGTGGAATTTTATGAACCTATAAAGATTATAAGAATGATCTCAGCATGACTATAACAGAGTGAAACACAATTTAAACAATGTTGTGGTAGGTAATTGGATTTTGTGGACCATGGACGAAACTGCAACAAACTGCCATTTAAGTGTTGAAATGGGGTGCACTGCTGCTTGCAGAAATACGTAAGAACATAGTACTCAGTGCGGGCGAGTCAGACTCGCGCATGAAATCTAGTAGGGGAAACCCCTTTAATTTTCAATTTAGTTTAGTTTTATTTTTAGTTGTTATAGCAGCAACACAAATACACATTTTGTGAAAATTTCAACTATCTACCTATTACGGATGATGAGATACAGCCCGCTGACAGACAGACGGACGAACAGCGGAGGCTTAGTAATGGGGTCCCGTTGGTTACCCTTAGGATACGGAACCCTAAAAAATAATACATGTGATTTGAATCAATTTGAAATAATTTACCTCTAGAGCTTTCTTGATTTAATTTTCTAACCAAGAAATTTAGTAAAACAACACTTACATGTCTTCCTATGCCATAGTTGTACGTGTGGCGGATCATAGGTATGTCATCGAAGAGCCGCAGCATCATCCTGGCGTTGGACAGCCGGGAGCCCGCTGCTTGCCAAGGCTTCTCGCCTTTGATACATCCGTATAACTTTAGTGCATAGCATGTTAAACGGACAACCTATAAAGAAAAACATTTTTGAACATTAAAAAGAACAATGGCCATTTTGGACTAGGAAAAAAAAACAAATTGTTACCAACATGAGACTGTCACCAAATTGTAGTAGCTTGTGAATTTAATTAATATTTATATTTTTAAAAGCAGATTAATTTTAAAAGCTGGAGAAATATGAATAATTGCCTTTAAAAAATATCTTATTATTGAATGCATCTGTAATAATAATCTCCCACTCACCAGATGTCGCTAGTTGTGACTGAGGTAAAATTTTCTGTGTCAGTTAATTGAGAAATTAGTTTTAAATAATAGTTTATCATTATCTAGAGTATTATATTATTACACAACACAATGTATCAGTGGTTTGATTTTTAATTTTTTGCACTTTATAATTTTCTACTTTTAGTTATATATTTATAGTTTGGTTTATTCATTTTTAATATAATTAATATAAAATATAACTAATAATACAGAAAGAAATATTAAAGTTTACATTTTCCAAAGAAATTATCGTCCTCACTGGTCCCCACCAATGAGTTATTAATTATTATGTACTACGTACTAGAGGCGACACTGCACTAAGTTACGCTGTCCCATTCAACTGCGGCAATATCGCCGCACTTTACTCAGCTAGCGAGTTGACACAAGCAGTGTTGATAATATAAAAACAAATATTCTTGATATAATATGCCATGGTGATTTAGATATTGCACAAATAATTGTTAGCAAATAAAAAAGGAATAACTTTTCATCGGTGAGTAAGATACTTAATTAATAAAAAAAGTATTATAATTATTAATCAAACAAATTATTTCTAAGACGCCATCTCGGGTCATGGAATATAGATTATGAATTAATTTTTTTCAGATGCGACGTTTCTGTAGATACTTAAGTGTGAGAAAAATCGTACATAATATAATTTTTTTTGTAGAAACAAATAGAATTATTCATAATTAGGCTAAATTTCTGATATTTAAATATGCAGATTATTCTTTCATTTTATTTTTAGGTTTCCACGTCCAAGCCATGAAAACAGGGAAAAGTAGAATAAATTCGACCATTTTTGACTCTCGCATGCCCAGCATTTATGAACGACTCTTATTCTAATCTAAATAAATATATTCGTAAATTATATGTTATCCCTATTAATAAGTTTTGTCAAACATACATTTAGTATGGTTTTTATATTTTACATAGTTACCTTTTAAAATGAGCCGTAGTAGCTCAGATGGTTAACACTCGCTGTAAATTTCACAGTACGCGAGCAATTCGGGTTCGATCCCTGCCGGCACCAATGAAATTGTTAATTGCAATTTTAAATGCTGATTTACCATGTGCTCGGCGATGTAGGAAAACATCGTGAGGAAACCTGCATGTCTGAGAAATAAGAAAAAAAAACATAGGTAAATTGGTAGGCTTGGGTATGGATTATGTTTTAAGGGACATAGAAAAACAATAACACTTTATTTAGACATATTGGTTTTATTTTATTTGTTATATAGATCATGGAACCCCAATGATAGGTACCTAAATCTCTGATCTGCAATGAATCATTGAATATGACGATTCTAATGAATCCTAAGTGGATTGTTGCACTAGGAGTTCAAAAATTACATAATCCAGCTGAATCTCCAGGTCACGTAGATACATCTCATAGCTATGATCCCATAGAATGTATCAACATTTAGTCACATACATATATGAATTTTGTAGATAAATAGCCATTTTGTATTTTTTTTGTGTAACACCTGAACAAAAACATAAGGCAATATTTTGGTGTTAGACATTGATTACGAATATAAAAAATATATAATTTAACAAAAAAACTGAGATATGTATAGTTTCTGTCGGGTCTGGATTTTTTCTATAGAGTGTGACTGTTCTTCTTTGCTGATATTCTTTTATTTTATTTTTAGATATTTCCACATCCAAGCAATAAAAACAGGGAAAGTGGAATAAATTTTTACTCATTTACATACATACATTTATGCTCAGTATTTAAGAACAATTCTTATTTGTAAATTAAATGTTATGTTAATAAGTTTTGTTATATGTTTTTTTTTATATTTTACATAGTACATATTTTACATAATAACCTTTTAAAATACTCAAAGAAAAATAAAATGCAAGTGTGATATCATGTTATGTAATATTATATTAAATTACCTCATATTATATGCAAAATAAAGGACAAATTTTAAAAATTGTACTTGATATAGTTTACAGAATCTATTATTACATTCTACCTATGTTTAATCTATGATAAAAACCAACCACTCATACACCACACTACTCTTTCCTGCACATGCGCGAAGACATGAGAAGTGCACATTTTACTTGAAATTGCTGTTTTAGTACATATATATTACTTCAATGTATATTAAACAAAAGAGTGACTTTCAAGAGTATTATTTATAATCTATATTAAATAAATAGTTTCAGTTTCGGTTTCTATGTGTCAAGCCTACTTTCTAATATACATGGAAACAAAGCAAACTGCTTTAGTCCATTATAAAAATAAAAATCATAAAAACAGTATGTACTTCAATAGTAAAAACAAAAGATACTAAATGTTAGTCAGTTGACTTCAGTCACGTTATAGTACAATTAAAAGAGAATATCTATCATTATGTATAAGAACAATTACTTGAAACTACAGCATCTCCTATCCAACTAAAAAGTAATATTCTATTGTGACATTTCTGTTTATAGTAATAAATCATATTGCATTCTACAAAAGTATTTAACAGGATGAAATGACACGTTTTTTTTTTATAAATATCAAGGTTATATTATTCTTCCGCATACTTTACCTTGTCTCTTCCATTATAACTGTCCAAAAGTTCACAAATATCTTCCACTACTGAAGACATTATATAAAAAAAGTTTCTTTAACAATTTATACACCGATATTTTAAAATTTAATTAGATCAAGTGCCACTAGCGTCCGATAGCACAGATTTATGTTCGATACTATTAGACTATTACATTTCTCCATACCGCGCGAAAACCTAGAAGACCTTGATTTCGAAAGTCACTATCTCACAATCAATATGAGCTAAAGCAAACTGGGTAACTGGGCAAATAGCAAAGTAAAAGTCTGTTATCGAATGACAAATTGACAAGACATGTTGTTTTAATTATTCGCTCGAGAGAGCAGGCAAAGGAACTAAACCATACAGCCTTGTCTTTTTTATTTTGAATATATAGAAATTAAAGTGTAAAGGCCGGAATTAAGTCTTACTTTTCTTCTTTCAATCTCTTCAAAATCTATAAAGGCCGAAATTAAGTCTTATTTTCTTTAATTCTTCATATTTTCAAAAACCCGTAAAGGCTAAAGCCAAGTCTTCTTTATATTGTTGCGCGCCACTATTAATGTCTTGTACATGGCAACACTAGTTACACTAGCGCCCCCTAGTGTCGAGTAAATGAAAGTGTTGCGCGCCACTATTCACATCAGCCCTTAGTAGCCACGCGCTACTAAGGGCTGATGGATCATCCTACGACGTCACCACACGGCACGAGGGATTAAGAGGTCCCTTACTTAGATAGATCTTACTCTCTTTTAAAAATTTGTAAATCCTTTATTTGTGCACAGAAAGACGAGTGGGTTATATCGACAGGAGCTGAACAAGGGATACAAGAGAACAGGTAGGTAATTTTTTTTAGGTTAACTATGTGTGTAAAAACGTTTGTTTGACAACTCTTGGGACTCTCACGCACTATACCACCGCGCACTTGGCTGCATAGGTTAACTGGTCGTTACGATCAAACTATTTATATAGTTTATATACCAGCATATTGTTACGCGTCACTATTAATGTCTTGTACATGGCAACACTAGTTACACTAGCGCCCTCTAGTGTCGAGTAAAAGAAAGTGTTGCGCGCCACTATTAATGTCTTGTACATGGCAACACTAGTTACACTAGCGCCCTCTAGTGTCGAGTAGCAGAACTAGGAGAGTCGAGATCCTTCCAGAAATTTCGGGACCGATATGTACTCGAACATTCTAGATGTCGCTACAGTAGAAGGTAGATAGACCACGACCGGGGCAGTATTGAATTGGCGATACAGGAGATTACTTCGAAGCGAAATAACAGCGAACTGTGTTTTATTATTAGTGTAATTTTAGATTGTAATTAGTGTTGTGTAATTAAAGTGTCAATTTTGGTAATTCAATCGGCAGTTTTTAATTGTCTCGAATCCCAAGCTCGTAACAATTGGTGTCAGAAGTGGGATGAAATATGCCGATTTTACCTAAAGACGACACGGAGGGTATCCGTACCCGAAGTCAACGCCAACAGGAGACGGACCAGAGACGAATTGGTAATGCAACGCCGCAAACGTCGGAGGGGCAGCTGCTAACCACGGAGGCCGGCCCGTCAGCAGCTCCTGCATCTGCAGCTCCTGACTTAGGTGCTCTGATGATGATGCTGCAGGATCAGGCTCGCCGACAGGAGGAACAGGCTCGCCGACAGGAGGAACAGGCTCGCCGACAGGAGGAACAGGCCCGCCGACAAGAGGAACAGACCCGTCGGTTGGAAGAGCAGCTGCAGCGCGGTATGGAAGAACAGATGCTCCTCAGGAAGGACCTTCACGCTACCTTCGGGAAAGAGATAAAGGAGGTGAAGGATAGGGTTGCTCAACATGACAACCGCCTGTCGGAAGCTGAAACCCGAATCGATCAAGTGAACAATCGGGTTGACAACGTGATGGCTGATGTGAAGAAAACGCTGGACGACCTCAAACTTGGGGATGGAATTACAGCTCCCGTAGTAGCTACAACACCTTCGCTACGTGGATTCAAAGTGCCGCCGTTCGACGGGAGTTCTTCCTGGTCGGCCTACAAAATCCAGTTCGAGGCTGTCATGAAAGCGAACGGCTGGAATAAAAGTCAGGCCATGACTGCTCTCACCCTAGGCCTACGCGACCAGGCCTTAACTGTTCTGGAAGCTCTCGGTAAGGAAGTAACTTACGAGCAGCTCCTTGAGGCATTGGAGGCAAGATATGGCGATGCTCACCTGGAACACGTCTTTCGTGCGCAGCTCAAAGATCGCGTGCAACGCAGTAACAAAACCTGCAGCAGTGGGCCCTTGAGGTGGAGAAGCTGGTTCGAAAAGCGTACCAGTCTGTACCTGCGCTCATTGTAGGGAACCTGGTGCAGATATTCATCGACGGCATCCGCGACCTTGAAGTCAGAGCTGCTGTGAGGCTCGGACACCACGAGACGCTTAAGGACGCCTTGACCCATGCACTGGAGGTGGAAGCCGTGCGGCAGGATCATCGTTCCCACCGCGTCAGGGAGGTTGCAGCAGCTACAGTTCAGGACCGCAATAAGGGCTACAGCCCTAGGTGCTACGGCTGTGGGGAAAGGGGCCATCTTCGATCCAGCTGCCCTAAACGAACTGTAGAAAGGGAAGGTGATCGATATCGAGAGGGTAGTGTGGCTGACAGCACCGCCCAGCAACAGCAGGGAAACTGACGGGTGCTGGCTGATGTTAAAAGAGCCCCAAGGATTTCGATCTCACAAACCCATGATGGGAACAGCCTAATCATCAAGGGCGAAGTCAACGGAAAGCCGTGTAAACTGACCATAGACACTGGAGCCTCTCGCACGGTTGTCAGTTCCCAACTTATAAGTCGGTTCCTTGGGGACTCCGCATACAACCGAGAACGCATTAATTTGGTGACAGCCACCGGTCAGCGCATACCCGTCCGTGGAGAGAAGGAGATGGAGTTGAAGCTAGGCAACATGATCTACCTGCATAATGTCATCGTGGCTGATATAATGGACGACTGCATCCTGGGCCTAGACTTTATGAGGAAGAATTGTTGTGAGATCGACGTTAAGCAAGGTGTTTTGAAATGTGGACAAGAGGAACTTTTCGTGGAAGGGGTGTTACCAGGGAATGTGTACAGCCTTAAGAAGATTGTTCTTCCGCCGAGATCGGAAACGATTGTGCCGGTTAGACTTCCACGGAATCCTGGGCAAACTCTTCGTTGTGTACTCGTGGAAAGGGTAGACAATGACCTTCCATGGAAAGTGGCTCGAACCTTGGTCAGAACCGCCGACATCTCAGGAGTACGTGTGCTGAACCTTTGTGATCAGGAACAGATTATAGAAAAAGGCACATTGGTTGGTACTAGTGAGGAAGTGGATTGGTTGCGTCGGTGCGAATATCTATCGACTGGGACCCCCAGCAAGGATGGACAAACTAGAGTGACCACACTTTTAGAAGACTGTCGCAGCGTTCTCTCCCCGAATGAAACGGTCAAAGCGAAGAAGTTGTTACTCAAGTACGCCAATGTTTTCTCGTCAAACGAAGCTGACATAGGAAAGACTAGCTTAGTTCAACACAAAATAAACACAGGACAAGAATTGCCTATTCGTCAGCGGCCAAGAAGATTGCCTGTAGCACGTGAAAAGGAAGTGGAAACCATGATTGAGGGAATGGTGAAGGATGGTGTTATTGAACCTTCATCTAGTCCATGGTGTTCACCTGTGGTGCTGGTAAAAAAGAAGGATGGCAGCATGCGGTTTTGTGTTGACTACCGCCGCCTGAACGACGTTACAAAGAAGGATAGCTATCCCTTGCCAAGAATTGATGACAAGCTGGACATGCTTACAGGCGTAAAGTGGTTTAGTACGCTGGATCTGAAAAGTGGCTACTGGCAGGTTGAAATTGACCCTAAGGACAAGGAGAAAACTGCATTCTCCACAGGAAAGGGCCTGTGGCAATTTAAAGTCATGCCGTTTGGATTGTGCAATGCTCCAGCAACGTTTGAAAGGTTGATGGAGCTTGTACTTACCGGGCTAATTGGAGATGCCTGTCTCGTCTATTAGGATGACATCATCATCGTAGGCCGTACGTTTGAGGAACACCTTCAAAACCTGGAACGCGTGCTCATGAAGATCCAGAGTGCAAACCTCAAGTTGAGTCCAAAGAAGTGCTCACTATTCAAACGGCAAGTTAGTTTTTTGGGGTATGTAGTGTCGGAAGAAGGTATCCGCACGGATCCAGAGAAAATTGCTGCTGTCAAGGAGTGGCCGGTCCCAAAAGACAAGACACAGGTTAGAGCATTTTTGGGTTTGTGCTCTTATTATCGGCGATTTGTGAAGAACTTTGCAGATATAGCCAAACCTCTGCACAAGCTAACCGAGGAGAAGCGACAATTCTGCTGGGATGAAAGTTGCGATATTGCATTCCAGGAGCTCAAGAACCGTCTGTGCAAAACACCTATTTTGGGGTACCCTGATGCGGGCAAGGAATTCATAGTTGACACAGACGCAAGTGATATAGGACTTGGCGGTGTGTTGTCTCAACGGAATGGTGATCAAGAGATTGTGATAGCGTACTTCAGCAAGTCGTTGTCAAAGCCGGAAAGGAACTATTGTGTCACAAGACGGGAATTGCTTGCTGTGGTAAAGTCCTTGCAGCATTTTAGCAAATATCTTCTAGGGCGGAAATTCTACTTACGAACTGACCATGCTGCACTGAAATGGATATTGTAGTTCAAAATCCGGAAGGACAAGTTGCGAGGTGGATTGAACTACTACAGGAATACGACTTTGTGATCGAACATCGCAGCGGGAAATCTCATGGCAATGCAGATGCATTATCAAGAAGACCTTGCCCTGAAGATTGCAAGCATTGTACTAGGCAAGAGGGTAAAGAAGTGGTATCTGCGAGGATATTCAGGACAGACCAGCTCAGCAATGAATGGAAGGACAGCCTACAACATGCACAGCAGGAAGATTCGGACATTAAGCCGATTCTGGAATGGACGAAGGCCAGTGCTCTTAAGCCGAAGTGGAGCGACGTCTCAGCAATGAGTTCCACCACGAAAAGCTATTGGGCCCAATGGGACAG